GTCCCGGCATTCATCTTTGTGTATGGTGTAACTTACATAGAAAAGAAAGGCACCTCCCTGGGCTTTATTCTTTGGACCTAAATTTGCAGTGGGAAATTTATCCTGGGTAGAAGTGTTTAAAAGACAGTTGTTCTCATATGAAGGCAAGAACCCCAAGCTGAAGATGAAAATGCTATACTTTTAAAACCAACTGTCTTAGTTGACTGGTATTCTGTTTATTTTCCCTTAAGTATTAACTTATCCCTTTGTAAATTCCTATTTAGAAATTTTAGCTTGGCTCTGGTGTACTATGGGCATAAAATGGAAGGGTCATATAATTTCATATGTTGGTATTAAAGGGAGTAACATTAGCCCCTAGGCTGATATGATCGAGAAAACTAATAATCAGTGAGAAAGATCCAAAGTAAAAGTTTATCTTTCAGGAAAAGTAAGAAGTTCCACCACTCCTCACATAGATAATCCTCTTAGTAAACTTGGAACACTGGAAGTTATTTTAAGGAGATCTAGATTTTATATATAACATATATAACATAACGTATTGATTTTGTATATAATAGAGATATCATATGCTAACTATGCATATCCCTGAACTTCTTGGGAGAAGTCCTCTGTGAAGATCCTAATTCTTTATCTCCAGAAATCAGCCACGACCTACCTCCTCAAATGTAGACCAGACTAGATGTCTCCCTGCTGCACTTCCACCTCACTCTATGCCTGTAACACACTATACTTTATTAGCCCTTCCTTAACTGTACAAGTATTCCGACTTGCCCTTGTTATCTCAATGTCTAAGACAAAACTTGGTGCTACTAGCTGCTCAATAAATTGCTTGTGAACTTTTATTTAACATTCCTCATTTGTTCAGACTCTTTTCCATTACTTATTAGCACTTTCCAAAAAAAGCCTGCCAAACTGGGTTATTTGTTCCAATATGATTTCCCTGCCCTTTGTAGTTCAACTTATCTAACTTTAAGATTTACTATATTATCATCTAGCTCTCTTTTCCCACTGGCATTTTTATCTTGACTCTGCTTTTCCTACAAGACACACTAGTATTGTTTTTACTTTGTTTTACTAACAAAGACTATATTGGGGTATTTACACTTCTTGAACTTTTTCTTTATTTATTTTCTCCTTCTTGTCTTTCCTCCTTCAATACTGCTGAAACTATATATTAGGTATCACCAACTCTTAGACTCTAAATAGTGTTTTTTCTCTCTCGCATAATTCTAAACATTGTTTCACCTTACCAGTCTATCTCACCCTCTTAAAGCTTCTCCAAGACTTGCAAAACTCCTCTCATGTTTGAATATCTAGCTGTTACATGAGTGTTCTTTGTCAGTACTCTCCAGAGTCCTCGTGCCTCACAAACAGCCTCATTCATGCATCCATGATATTAATCAGCTGTGATAGAAAAACTGCTTGAATCAGTTTAGAGTGCAGGAGGCCCCTTTCCTGTCATCTGCTCACTTACATAAATGGTTTGGATCCTAAAATACTTCTCTGTCTCTCAATGCAAATCCCATTCCTTACCAACTACACTATATCTTATTTGAGCCCTATGTTATTGTAAACAACATTTGAGCCCTATGTTATTATAAACAACATAATGTTGTTTTTATAGGTCATAAAATCTATAATATGACCTTAACTGCCTGTGATCACTGTCTAGATGGTGGGGCTGCACATACCATCCACTCTTCCAGCTCAAACTCAGACTTGCGCCACCCAGAAGTGTGAATTTCAGCCTCATTTTTGCCTGGGGGACTCAGTAACCACATCCATCTTCTCCTTCTCTCTTTCTTTCATTCTTCTGAAATTCTTTTCTCTTTCCTGTCTTCCCTCAGTCTCTTTCATCACTCAGATATCTAATCTAAGCATGGCTTAACCCTTTTTCCCCCTTGGTTAGTATTCAGCTTCTCTTCATTTTCATGAACACAAATCAGTTTAAAATCTATTTTCCTTGTTGCTTTCTCTTAAAGCAGTACCTGACCCAGTAATATCATTCAATAAACATCAACTTCTATCATTATCAACTTCTACTCACTCCAAACTCTAGGAAGACTCAGGATCTAGAATTTTCTCTGACATCAATTGTCCTTGCTGTGTACTCTAGCTCAAGTCACTTCTCCCTCTTTCACCCAAATGTGTGTGTTGGTGGGGTAGGGAGGAATGCGAGCAAGTTCATCTAGAGCTTTTTTTAAAGACTTCCGAATATATGAGACTTATATAGAAATATTTACTGGTATGTGGAGGTGCCATATAAATTTCCACCGCAGCTTCTTTGGTCTTTTTGTGCTCATCTTTGCCTACCAACTTTAATTTTCTGTTCAGTACAGAGTTTGCCTTTTGCACATATCTTCCTTACCTATTCAAGCCATAATGTTGTTTTCCTTTGGTCTCTTAAAAATGTTCCACCCCTGTAGTCCCTTGCATGATTGCTACTATTTTTGTATGCCTTTGCTCATCATTTTATTAAGTCCCTTGAGGACCAAATCCATTTTATGGGCTGAGTCCACATATAGCATACAACATACATATATTCATGCTCACACACCCATGAATGAAAAATTTTCCTTAAACCAGAATAACTAGTCAGAATCTAGACTTTGTAGCAAGTTAAGTCAAAAGGAACAAACAAAGCACAAATTTACAACTGTATCATAATAAAACCTTGCACCTTCATAAAAAATTCTGCCAACATAAAGACTATTCATTTAGACTCTTTGATGGTAAAATTTATTCTAAGTGAAACCTCACCTCTGTGCTGTGTCCCTCCTATATAAGAATTGGAAAGAACTATGCAAATCCTGCACCTGTTGAGTTATACAGAAAAACCACAGGAAACAAGAATGTGAGTGCATGTGATTAAATACAAAAGATTAGAATAAAAACCTTAGGTGGCTATGTTTTCTGCTATTATTTTAACTCTCCATGCTCTATACATTATATATCATTAGTGGGAAAAAATTACATAATAACAAATTATTAGCCTTATGCTTAAAGTTCTTAGACAATGCATATTATGTGCACATCTATGGCTATTCTGAGCATACAAAATGATTAAGCCAAAGAGAAAGGTTATCACATTGCGTTTATGGATTTTGATAACTATCAGCCTTGTGTTACACATGTCTGTGACTCTGGAGAGCAGATTTAGGTTCAGTCTTGTGGCAGCTCCTGCAGGGGCTAATCAGGAGAGCTGCTGTGACTAAAACTGAAGTGGAAGTTGCAGCTGCCTGGGAGATGATTTTCATTAAAGCTGCCTGCCAGTGTCAATACAGAATCTAAACTGGATTTTGGAAACAAAATGTGACACTTGCAAGGCACTTGGGCACAGAATTCATAGTTTTCTAATGGTGTCACTGCATCTTTTCACCAAGAATAAAAATGAAATATTTAAATAATTATTGACATAAAATTTACCCTGTAACAAACTAGCTAAATGTGAACATTTCCATATTTCCTTCTACTAATAATTATAATAGATATGGAGGAATTACAGCTATTGACAGAAATCAGAGTATATTCCTGAGTTGTGTTAAAGTAATGACATTGTGATTAATCTTTTTCTTCTATTTTTTCTGTTATAATTATTGTCATTTTTTTTATCACAATGAAATACATATAAATATATTGGCAATAAATTTGGGGTCATTTAAAGACAAAGGTTAATCTTGAGTTAACCTTTTATATACATATATAATACTATACTTTTATCTTTGGTTTAGAAAAACTCAATGTATAGAATTCTTTCTCCTAAGATAACAGATGTTTAGAAAAAAACATAGCTTTGGGGAAACCTCTAACAGATAGATATCAGTTAGAATTTCTATGGCCATTAAGGTGTAGGTTTATTAAATAGCATTATTTGGTTATTTTAGTGTTAGTCTACAGACATCAGATGATAAAATGATCTCCATAAAATGATATAACTATTAGTTAAAATAAATTTAATGCTTAGAAACTAGGTTGCTAACATAGAGACAGGAAATATTCTTTTCCAAAGGAAATAAATAAAATGAAAAGGAGTCACATAAGTGCTGTATTACAATAATGGTATTTGGCTTCATGCTAAAAAAATAATTTTTCCCTCCATTGCTTTACTCCAACAACTAGATTATTTCTTTATCCAAATTCATATCATATTTCATTTTTAAATAAGTAAAAATTAATTTGAAAAATAATGAGGAAATAGCTTAGTCCAAACTATTTCATGTCATATTTCTCCCAAACACCTTCCTAGCTTATTGACCATTCCTCTCTATACCTTTGAGACTAACTGACAGGAGTCCACAGTTAAGCCATATCTTTGAATTACAACATGTATTCAATAAATATTAGTTTACTAAATAAATTTTTCCAGTTTCTACTACTTTAATTGAAAGGATTCAACCTCTTTTCTTTATCAGGATGTACTCTAGAGTACAAAAATCTAAATATTTGATTTTGCAGCAATGATAGATAAAAACATACCTGAAAATTTATGATTGCTGACCAGAAAAATTTAAATTATTGTTTACAGTATATAGTTATAATATTATCTTTTTAGGTAAGTACAAGAAAATGCTTCTTGTTTTGGTCATTAGGATCTAAAGGGGTTATTTTTGTGAGCAACCAAAATTAAAAATGAAATGGAATCCATGAAAGGAAGAAATTACTATTTTTTAGAAACCTCTCAAATTGCCACAAACTGGCACTAGCTATGGCCATTAGTATCTTAGAACATATGAGCACTTTCACATGTTCTTCAAACACAGAAATATACTAGTATCTTTCATAAACTCCCTCAAGGTAAGATAAATCCTAGAAGTATTAATTTCCCAAGGTAAAAAAGAAAGAAATGATACTGCTCGATAAGATGAAGCTGCCAAAAACTTGTAGAACTCGCCTATCTCCCATGCATGGGTTTGACATCTCTACTTATAGGTGCCAAATTGTGTGTGTGTGTGTGTGTGTGTGTGTGTGTGTGTGTGTGTATGTTGTGAAGGGTTTTTCTTAAAAATATGGAACATTTCATGAATTTGAGTATCATCCTTGCACAGGGGCCATGCTAATCTTTGTATCATTCCAATTTTAATATATGTGATACTGAAGCAAGCACTCAAATAATAATTTCTTAACCTGTATGTGTCATTTAAATGTGTGTGAATCACAGATGAATGTAAACACATAAGTTTTTCTATTCAAATACGATTTAAGTCCCTACAGGATTTAGTCACTATATTAATTCATATACTTCAATCTGAAAATAATTTCTTTATGCTTAATAATACTTGATCGACCAAATTATTAGTTGATCTCTCTAACAATAGAAACTCACTTTTTGTCATTGAGACCAGGGTTTCCAAATTCAGTATCCTATCCCTTTTTGCCCTTCTAAATAGCACATTTGCTCTAGATTTTAGCCTTCCTCTTTCTCTTAACATGCTGTGTTAACTCTAGGTACATAATTGTAAAATCTGAAACAGATTTCTTAAATAAGGTTTCATAGTTTATAACTTCTATCCACTTAGCCATGACTAAGGGAATGAGTAATGTGGAAATGTCAGATACAATGGCAGGTCATTTTATCCATTATCTCCTAAAACGTCCCTAAAATGTAGATGCATTTTCCAAAAATCTTTAAGCCTGGCTCTGTACAAAAATCCATACTTACTATTAATGTCCTTATATAGGGCATTATTATATAAGGATCTGTATGCATCCTTATATATAAATACATATAAGAAGGAAAATAGACTTCATATCTAAACTCAAATATATTTTGAACTGTATGAAAAAAAGTCTTTTCCTAACCTAAATGAGTTTGTGTCAATTTTATACATATTAGAACTCTGATTAGGATTAACTGTAACAAGATCCTGTGGAATTTGTGAAAATAAGTGGATGCCCAAACCCCACCTCTACAAATTCTGATTTAGTGTTGAGAATGGCCAAACTGTCTGTATAGTTTTTAATGATCCACAAATTATTATTTAAATTTCAAAATCTATTAGATTTATAAATATTGCTCTGAGTGGGCTCTCTTAAGTGAACATTAATCCAATCCAACATATATCCAATTCTGTATTTCAGGACTTGGTGGAAATAAATAGCAGTGACATATAAACTTCAAAATTCAAATATTCTGTTGATTTATCTCCTGACCTATTATTTAAAAGAAAACTAATACCTCCCATATCTTTCTCTACACCTTGGTAGAAGTTTTAATAATCAGTAAATATATGAAAAGTGAGTATCAAGAGAAGATGGGGGAGAAGGGATTGAAGCTAAATAAGATGATGGTACATATTTGGCAGTAGGTTAAATTTGAAAATTTCCCATTTATGTAAACTCATGTTCTGCTGATAACATTCTTCTGTACATGTGGAATGGAAGAAAAATCTGCCAGCTATAATATTTTTACTTCAAAAACAAATTGCTTTTCCATAGACTAGGTGACTAGCAATGATTGCTAGTATATTTGAACTTTATTATGTGAAAAACCCCACAGGAACTTTATACTACTAATTATGATAGAGCGATGAAGTCTTAAATATCAGCAAATAAATTCACTTTATGACTCTCTCTCTCTCTCTCTCTCTCACACACACACACACACACACACACACACACATGCACACACACACACACTACACACACACATACACACACACTAAATTATTACAGTTGGGAACATTTTTTTGAAAAATATTATAGTCATTTTTACCTTAGGCATAATTTTTTTTAATAATAAAACTGTAGTAATTAGATAATTATTAATTTACCCATGTTTAGGTTGCAAAGTCAAGTAAAATTAAAATAGCAACACTTTGTTCCTTCGAAAATAGACAAATCTTAAAAACTTTATCAAATTTCTCAATTTAGTTAAAAGAATGGAGAAATGGGATAAGAAAAAAGAGAAATAGGTTAAAATATAAAAACATTTGCAAGAAGTCAAATATACGTAGTTGGTGAGGTCAGGACTTCTGCAACTGAATACAAGACCATGATCGGTATATATAAATCTATCCTTACCAGCTGTTCAAAATTCAACATTTCAATTCTCACAGATTTATATTTAGAATGGAGATTAGGTGATTCAACCCTTCATTCCTAAGGAATCAGAATCTTCAGTAATCCTGTCTATAGTCTTCCTCTAATATTGACCACTGATGGTGATGTCAATATGGACTTCAGGTATGCCCCAGATTCTGTTCACACTCTTCCCTGTCTTGATTTTATATTACCATGTCATTCCCCCTTGATGAGAAAGACCTTAGCCCAGTCTTCACCTATTGCACTTGTTCTCTCCTACTGCACTTGTTCTCTCAGAGGCATGCAGAGCCTGGTAGGAGCATTTTTCCTTTGGCACTAAAATTTCTAAACCAGCAGACCCAAACATGACAGGGATGGGAAGCAATTTTTTTTGCCAATAGATCATTATATAGTATGTGTTCTCAAACTTCTGTACTCTAGTAATGGGGGATATTTTATATTGTTCACTGGCTTGGAATATATACTACATACCACGAGAGTGCACCTCAACACTGACAAGGTGTTATCTCTTAGCTACTGCTCTGACAAGTCTTCAAACATCCATATCAATTTTCTTTATGACCAGTGGCTCTTGACTGATGGAGGACCTTATAAGATCAGTAAATTCTCTGAACACTTGTCAATTGCCTTGCTTTCCTCATTGTAGAAGGAGATCATTTTAGAAAGCAGTAGTTTGTGATATAACCTGATGTTATATAAGACAGAAATTCCTCAGAGGATGGTTCTGGCAGAGGCATAATGAAGAGAAAATAAAGTCAAATCCAGAATATGTCTATTTACTTGTGAGAGCAAATGGCCTGCTTAATGGCCAGGGTCTGATGTAATCAAATTTCCTCAGGTAGCTCTCAGAGCAGATCCCTTTAAGGTAGCATCCCATATTGAGGCTCAGTACTGGTTGCTCCTGCTAGAAAGGCAAGCATTTAGATGGGACAGTAGCCAACTTAGCCTTGTCAAAGTGAAAATTGTATTATTGAGTCCAGGACTACTTTTAAGATGGTCATTTTTATTACCCTCCTGAGAAAGCACTGAGTAGGCAATTTTCTTTACCTTATTTATTTTAGAGATCTCAGGTACAAATATTTATATAGTGCACAAATATTATTAAACTTTAGGCCTAGGCTCAATGTGAGTGGTGCATCTCCATATAACTTCCACAAATCTTTTTCTCATTAATATTCCTTCTAAGTCCTGTACCTTCCAAACATCCTCATAAAGCAACAGAGGTGCTAACTTTAGGCCACCTCTGCTTTAAGCAAAGTAGGCAAGAAGATGTACTGCTGGAGGTTCTACTTACTGGGAAGATTTTTTTCCTGAATGCTTCTCCAGTGCCACACCTCAGTGAGACTACAGCAGTGCCTTTCTGGCCTGTGCAAGCATATCATGCTGAATACTCTGTGGCCCAGCCTTCAATATTTTACTGTTAACAAGTCTTAGGAAACTCTATAGTTTTGGAGTAAAGGAAAGAACAGGATATGTGAGATTATGCATCCTTGAAAGACAATTTAAAAGAAGCAAAAAATAAAAAAACAATTGTCATTCTCATGTCTTTGAACCTGAAATGGTTGCTATAGTGTGGTCAACTCAATGAATAATCCAAGAAAAGGTGATTTTTCAGAGATATACTTAGATAGGTATATCTAGGCAGTTGTCATGACATTGCTTGGAGATAGAAAGTTATCAAAATAAATACTATGTAGTGGATGAAAAAGATATTTTCAGATAGTGGATGAATTTAGCTCCAGGAAATCTAGGTTACAATACTAGGTTTCTGAGAGGGCCAGTTCTGGAATGGTAGAACAATGACCTCCAAAAATCCATTCCTCCATTAAAACAATAAGAACAATTGGAAAAGCTTTCAAAATCAATACATTTCAAAATAAACCTTTTTAGAACTTCGGAAATCAACTAAAGACCTGCAACAATCTACACTGTGCATATTCAAGAAAAATATCTGCACCTCAACATGAGCATCAAGTTTATGTCTTATGCCTTATCTCATTCCCTGCTTTCCTCAGGACTGTGGTAGCCTTGAAAACTAACAGACTGGCAGCTACAAATGCTATGAAAATTAAAGTACTTGAAAGCTACTGTATAAGACAAAATGGGATTGTGGTTCCCAACCCACCCTCAAACACAAAAAAACTGTCACTGTTTGATCTGTCCGGCAGCAACTAAAAAGCTCCATTATCAAGGATGTCTTTACGTGATCTGATTCAGGACCTACTCTGTGAAAACGGCTCTATCCTCAGGACATTTGTTAAAAATAATTAGTAGTAATCGTTCGTCATCATAGCTGCCTGGGTAGCATTCTTGGTTGGGGCTAACAAGAGGAGGATTAAACAATGTGAAAGAAAAAATTGGAGAATGACATGTTTGTATGGGGCTTTAAAAACTCCAGTATATTTCTGGGAATTTAGAAAGCCACATCTGCGTAGAGGGTTGTGCACATACTAAAGAAGGACCTGAGAAGGTCTTAACCCCTGACCAGTAATTGACCTTGAGAGTCTGCACAAGCAAAAAGTGGATACTAAAGCACACTTGTCGACTGCTTGCTAGAGCCTTTAAAGTGTGTTCCAATACAAACACAGCACTCCTCAGCAATGTCTGAGGATTCACTAGTCAAAGCACTGAAGGAAATCTCTGTCCAATCATTAGTCGATTATTAACCAAGGCAAGCATATACTATAGTAGCACTTATGACAAAAATGTATATTCTACAGAATATGTCCAGAAAAGTAACTAAACAAACAGCAAAAAGAGTAAACCCCAGGAAGGAAGAAATAATCTAATTCCCAGAGCTGGAACATATTATTTAACATTCCAGTTTTCAACAACAATTAAAAGATGATATATGCAAAGACACAGGAAAGTAGGACCCGTACATGGAAATAAAGGCACTCCAATGATCATGCCCCTGAGGACTCCCAGATTCTTACTAAACAAAGATACTAAATTGGCATTTATATATGGTCAAGGAACTAAAGGAAACCATGTCTGAAGAAAAGAAAAAAGAGGTATGAGAAAGATTTTTTAACAAATAGAATTTATCAATAAAAAGATAGA